ATTATGTGTAATGCCACGTAGGATCAGGCACTGGCCTTAATGGGGGGGGATCGAACCCTCCCCCTTTTTTTTTTTCGAACTTTTCAACAAAACTGAAATTGTCATTACGTGTAATGACACGTAGGATCAGGCGCTGGCCTTAATGGGGGGGGATCGAACCCTCCCCCTTTTTTTTTTTCGAACTTTTCAACAAAACTGAGATTGTCATTACGTGTAATGCCACGTAGGATCGGTCGCTGTCATTATGTGTAATGCCACGTAGGATCGGTCGCCGGCCTTAATGGGGGGGGATCGAACCCTCCCCCTTTTTTTTTTCGAACTTTTCAACAAAACTGAGATTGTCAGTACGTGTAATGCCACGTAGGATCGGTCGCTGTCATTATGTGTAATGACACGTAGGATCGGTCGCTGGCCTTAATAGGGGGGGATCGAACCCTCCCCCTTTTTTTTTTCGAACTTTTCAACAAAACTGAGACTGTCATTATGTGTAATGCCACGTAGGATCGGTCGTTGGCCTTAATGGGGGGGGGATCGAACCCTCCCCTTTTTTTTTTCGAACTTTTCAACAAAACTGAGATATTTTTTTTTTCGAACTTTTCAACAAAACATAGATTATCATTATGTGTAATGCCACGTAGGATCAGGCGCTGGCCTTAATGGGGGGGGATCGAACCCTCCCCTTTTTTTTTTTTGTACTTTTCAACAAAAATGAGATTGTCATTATGTGTAATGCCACGTATTATCGATCGCTGTCATTATGTGTAATGCCACGTAGGATCGGTCGCTCGCCTTAAGGGGGGGGGATCGAACTCTCCCCCTTTTTTTTTTCGAACTTTTCAACAAAACTGAGATTGTCATTATGTGTAATGCCACGTAGGATCGGTCGTTGGCCTTAATGGGGGAGGGATCGAACCCTCCCCCTTTTTTTTTTCGAACTTTTCAACAAAAATGAGATCGTGATTATGTGTAATGCCACGGAGGATCAGGCGCTGGCCTTAGTGGAAGGGGATCGAACCCTCCCCTTTTTTTTTTCGAACTTTTGAACAAAACTGAGATTGTTATTATGTGTAATGCCACGTAGGGTCGGTCGCTGGCCTCAAGGGGGGGGGGATTGAACCCTGCACCTTTTTTTTTTCGAACTTTTCAACAAAACTGAGATTGTCATGATGTGTAATGCCACGTAGGATCGGTCGCTGGCCTTAATGGGGGGGGGATCGAACCCTCCCCCTTTTTTTTTGGAACTTTTCAACAAAAATGAGATCGTTATTATGTGTAATGCCACGTAGGATCGGTCGCTGGCCTTAATGGGGGGGGATCGAACCCTCCCCCTTTTTTTTTTCGAACTCTTCAACAAAACTGAGATCGTCATTATGTGTAATGCCACGTAGGATAAGGCGCTGACCTTAATGGGGAGGGATCGAACCGTCCCCCTTTTTTTTTTTCGAACTTTTCAACAAAAATGAGATTGTCATTATGTGTAATGCCACGTAGGATCGGTCGCTGGCCTTAAGGGGGGGGGATTGAACCCTCCCCGTTTTATTTTCGAACTTTTCAACAAAAATGAGATCGTGATTATGTGTAATGCCACATAGGATCAGGCGCTGGCCTTAGTGGAAGGGGATCGAACCCTCCCC